TATGTTGCTGAGAGCGCCATGTACAGAATAAGCTTCCTTCACTCATGTTAGCAAAATAAAATAAAAAATCTTCAGTTAAATACACAGTTCACAATGCAGATCACTTGATTATGTTGTGAATACCTAATTTATAGCCCACAGTTCTTCTTCACCAAGCCATTGAGTTTTGTATCATACTTAACATAGTTCTTTTGTACATACACATTTGCAAGCACTAAAGTACTTTACAAAGGTATGTGCACATCACCAGGAATACCAGAAGGATTTTTCTTTAAAAGGCACTGTGGATAAGATCTAACTTTGCCATTTCAGAGATCAGATTTCCTTTACAAGCTTTGCCAAGTCTTATCCTCAGCTATACCATTTCAAAATGTTATGGTCAAATATCTGTTGCCCAAAACCCATTGGGTAAAAAGTCATTTATCCTGATTGTGCTTAAGACTGACAGTATCCTGCAAGAAATGGGTAGTCACTTGATGCTACTTTAGGTATTTGATAGCTAATAAGGAAGAAGAACAGTAGCAATATAGCAGCCATAGAAGCTATTGTAGGTGGAATGGAGACTACTAGCAATAAATCCAACACTTTTTAACTCGCGTGAATTCTAAGGAGTACTATATAACCTACCTTTTTGTCCGAAAAAAAAGTGGGGGAAAATTAGGGTGTATATTATAGGTGAGGAAAAGGGCTCCTCATGGTTTCTGTAATTTGCTGGTAGAGGAGGGGGTGGACTGGTGGCAGCATTAATTGCCATGGCTCTTGGAGCCATAACAGTTAACACTGCCAAAGCTCTGCCCTCTTCGTGCCCCACCCCCGTGCGAAATTTCCAGACAGCAACATGCCGATAAGGCCAGTGTATAAGGATGTTTCAGAGCCTAGTGTCCAATCCAGTATGCCAGAGCTGACACCATGCACTGGCTCCAGAGCCACTTGCCAGGTTAGATCCGGTGCACCAAGTCTAGGACCACAGGACGCGTTGGACTGGCACATGGCTCTAGAGCAGCGTTTCTCAACCTGTGGATTGTGACTCAGAAGTGGGTCACAAGAACATTGAAAGGGCCATGGAGAGGTCCCAGAAAATTGGGGGTTTCCCCAGGCTGCCACACTGTCAGCCTGCATGGGGCTGGCGAGCACACAGCATTGTGAGAGCAGCCCCAGGAGCCAGAGAGGGAGGGGGCTGGTTGCAGCAGCCAGAGGAGCGGGAGAGAAAGAGAGAGACTGTGTGGGTCTCAGCAAGGTCACAGCAAGCTGATAATTATGCTAATAGGTCCCAGCGTGAAAGGTTGAGAACCGCTGCTCTAGAGTCAATGCCGAAGGTCACTGCATGACCCCAGCGCCAGCTGGCTGGATCAGGCCCCAGTACAGAGCCAGTGTGCCAGATCAGGTCCCAGTGTGTGTCCCTGGAGTACAGCCTCCAGGCCCCAGCTCCGGCATGTGACCCCGAGGTCCAGGGACTCCGGACCTCAGGTACTTACCTGTACTCAAAGGTAAGTTATATTTTCCCTCTTGAGACCTTCCAGAAATAAGTGTGTTATATTATGGGATGTATTATGTGCAAAAAAATATATAATTTGATCGGTTTATTAATATTGTAGTTAGTGGTCAGCAAAACTGAAGAGCAAAACATTTCTAAGTTGTCTTCCTAAGGTTTTGAGTAAGAAAGATACTGCTGCCTTAGGTGCCTGGGGTCTTTTTCTGGATTTCATTCACCTTGCCTTATTACGGTTTTCTTGTTTGCGTACCAGAAGGCATCATGCTTCTGAAGGTACAGAGCAAGTGAGCTGTGTGGTTATGTTTCAGAAGAGTGGTATGGTGGGAGGGGAATGGAACTGCAATAGGCATCTCTTAGAGAATGACTCCTAAGTCCTTCTGACTCAGAGAAGATGGGACTTTGGTAAGGATCATCCCTCTGGATTCTTCACAGGTATTCACAGTATATACACCATAAATTCAGACAGTCATTTTGATACTTGTACTCTGCAAACTTTCTGAATACTTTTTTATATGATGTCTTCGTAGGTGGCAGATGGTCACTATATTTTTAGCATTGACATTTCATTTTTTTTCAGCATCTAAAAAAGTGTTTTCTGCATTTAAAAATGTTTTAACTTCTAGTTGAAGAAGCAAAACTAAGTATATAATTTTATATCTGATTTTTGTAAGAATCAAATCTGTATGAATGATAGGAACACGTTTGGAACTGTATACTCTGTGGGCGCATCCAGACGAAAGCAGACATGCAGCATGTGGTGCTGCAGGTGCATCGACAGCATTGCATATGTAAGCATTCCCCATGCTGCTACTTTGCAGTGTAGGCAGGGGTTTTTTGGTCAAAAAAAAACCCATGCCAAAAAAAAGCAGGCAGTGCACGTGGTAGCAGCATGCATCACCCAAAACTGGAGCCTGGCTGGCCAGAGCCACACTTTGGCTGCCAGCCAAGCTTCCTGCTGCAGGAGTGCCATGGCTGCAGTTCCCCACAGTCCCCATTACCCCAGGTAAGGCTTCTCAAGCCAGCACAGTTGTTGACCCCAGCTTCCCCTACCCCACCTGGGGTAACCTGCCACATGCCAGAGCACGCATGACATGAGCATGCCCTAGGGACAAGTAGCAGCGGCACAAGTTGTGCTGCTGCTACTTGTCCTCAGGGAAACGTATGTTCCTGCTCGTCTGAATGCACCATGTGGTGTTCATTTTTTTGTCAGTCAGTCCTCTGCTAGCTGTTTGTGTAGCATTCGGCACCCAAATACACAACTGGAACAAATGGAGATATAAGTGAAATGAGGTTCATGTTAGTCCTTGATGAAAATTGGCATTTTAATACCAAGTTCAGGATCTTGTCTTGCAAAGGAGCATTCTCTTTGTATGTGCACAGAATTTTTGGAGAATCAATCTGGAAACATTAGGTTATAGGAAAAGCTTAATCTGAGAAGTTCCAGTATTTTATGTTAAGCCTTGGCGACGTCATTTTGGACACTAACAAGTTATGATTGCTCAGATATTACTGATATGTGACAGTGTTAACATGCTGGTCTGAAGTTGCAGATGCTGGCCTTTTCAATACACACTTGCTTCTTGCACTTTCTTGAACACCCTGGCTGTGGTATCAGCAGTGATCAGCTTGGGTGGGGGAGGAATGGGAAGAAACCTACGCTGTTTGTAGGCCAGGTATAATAATCGAAAATGACTGTGCTACAAACTGTTAACTCAAATGGTCTGTGAAGCCAAGCATAAACTAAATAATAAACAGATGTGAGTCACCAAATATAGAACACTTAAGTCCTAGCTGCAAAGGGACACAAATGAGATGATAGGGTATTAGCAGAAAGATGCAATTTACAGGTCAGAATGTAATAGTAACCTTTCACTGTGAAAATTGAAAATTAACCTTGGGAGTATTGGATCATTTGCAGCTTATATGGTAGTTTTTATTGGAGAAGAAAATCTTTAAAAGACTTTCCCTGTGATTTTGGATCTAAAAGTAGTGTTTTTAAAGCGTGCTTATTTCTTTTTCTTTTCACGTAAGAATATTTTCTCCCTATTTTCATTTATTTGTGTCTACAGTGGTATTCACCAACAGTGATATCATCCTATATTAGCTTTATTCAGTGTGGTGCTCAAGCTCCTTCTCTTTAAGATACTTTCACTGCATGTAGCCCATCATAAGCTCTTATGATGGTTAGATCCTCAGCTGGTGTCAGTTGACTTAAGTGGAACCGTGACAAATTGTACAAGCTGAGGATTCCCCCTTCTGTAGTCATCTCTCACATCACAGATTTCACTACACTAATTAAGGTTTAATTCTGGCAGAACAAAGCTGACCCAATTGCAGAGGGCCTGCATCAAGGGGTACTTGGGTGGATCATCGGCCTGATGGCTGTTCCACCCTTCAGGTCAGATTTGTTAAAGATATTTGGGCAATGTTTGGTCATGTGAGGCAAAGGGTAAGTGGAATTTTGGAAGCCAAGTCTGTTAGAAAAATTACCCATAAAATATAGAATATATTTTATCTACCAAGGAATGATAAAGCTGTTTCTGATTTAACTCTTTTTTTCAGGGACCAAATCCAGTGGCAGTTTTAACGTGGGAAAAATAGCATGTGGCAGTACCTAGACAAAACTCTGAACAAAATAGAAACTGAGTGTCATGTCACGTTTCAGGAATGTTAAATTAAGAAGCTTTCACTGATTGGGTTTTGGGGGGTGGGGTTTGCTGATCACTTGTGGCTTTTTAAGATATGGAAGTAATTTATACCGTTTTCACTGTTTGTAAAAAGGGTGCCTTAAAAAAATTGATTCTGTGTTTACGCACATTCAGTTTATATAGAATTTTTAAAGTTTAGTTTTATTATTTTTTGATGGCAGGAACCCAGACAAAATACATTTTACAAGACAGCAGTTCTAATTGCATATGCCAAATAAAATTTAATAAAAGATATTTTGTCTTTTTTGTTGTTTCAAAAGTGTAATAGCTAAACATCCATGTAACCATAATATTTTCTTAAGTCTTATATAGAATTACTACTACATTCTTATTTTCATGGATTTTTAATTAATGTTTTTATATGTACATTGTAGGGAAAAAGCTATTTTAACTATGTTATGTTTTGCACATGTTCCACTGAATATCCTTTATGTATAAATGTATGTTCATTTAGACAAAGCAGCCTTTTTAGTGCTAGAGCTATTAGTTCTGAACAGCATTCCCTAATTCTGATACAGCTCAATTCAGTGAATAACTTTCTGTGTATAGAAATAGATCCAAATATATAATTTTTTTTACATATTATCCTTTAACAAAATGTATAAAAATACTTATGCCATAATGTGAAAATAATTGATATATTATAAAAGTATTTCTGTATTCTGGATCACTATGTATATGGAGTTTTTTAGCATGCTAGGGAGATTCTTGACCTTTAACCTAAACCTAGTTGTTTGGTTTTCACGCAATTTACACAAGGGTATAATTGACCTTTAACACCTCAATATGTTTTTCTTTAGGTAGCTCTGGTGCAATGGACAGAAAGTGTTGGTCTTACTCTGGTTAACAGGGATCTGACCTCAATGCAACTGAAGACCCCTGGTGGACAGATTTTGACATACTATATTCTCCAAATTTTTCCCTTCACATCAGAAAGCAAGCGCATGGGAATCATAGTCAGGGTAAAGTTTTTTTGAAAACTTAAAAATGTGTTTGTCTCTCACTGAGGGCTCTTTACTATGTATTTTTTTTACCGTAAAGTGTAACCTTCTAATGTATGCCTAGTTTACAGGTTTTGCAAGCTTTTCACATTAAAATGAAAAACCTGTGTAAATAACATACATTTGGCAAAAATAATACCCAAAGAGCTACTGATATCCTGATGCTGTAGAGCCCTGCATCCCTGTGGAGTTATATTATCTTCTTCATGCTTAGGGCAGCTTGCATGACTAAGGCCTGAACCTCCTTTTTTAGTTTTCCCATTGTACTTATTATGGATGTATTTGAATTTTGGGATTAAGGGGTGATATAAAATTTCAAACATGCCATAATATGCAGGGGGTGAGTTAGTGGCTAAGGTACAGATTATTTGAAATAGTATCTCATAATGAACAACTGTTGTTAAAACAACAAAATGTCCCATAATACTAAGAACAAGAATGCATGGTATTAGCCTTGTACTTGGAAGACATATTTGACATAAAGACATTTGTAAATTGGGAATAGCAACTGGGAGACATGGCATAATTTTATGTATTAAATAGTCATTTCATCAAAATTTTTAGTTTAGAGAAAACTATAAGCCAGTCTCTCTGAGAAGTAGACAGAAGCCCTGTCCTTCCTTTTTACACTTCAGGGTGGGACCCCTGTCCTTTTTACATTTAAAGCACATAACGTATACTTCATGAGTAAAAATATATACCTTTTGAAATGCCTACATATGTATTCATTCAAATGAATGCCAAGAAGAGGATGGTGATCTTTAGACAGAAATGTATTTATGCTCCATGCCTCAAAGGAAACAAAATCTTCAAGTGGTTAAAACAGGACCCAGAAGTCATGAAGTCTGGACTTTGTTCCTATATCTGACACTAACACCCTGTATAACCTTGAGCAAGGCATTTATGCCCAAAATTTCAAGTGGTTTGTACTTTCAAGTGCACACAGCTAAATTCTTGGATAATTAAGGACTACTTTTTCGAGATTCTTTATTGACCTCAGCTGGAAGTGTAAGTAAATCTGATCTTGGGTGTATAAAGCTGATCATCCAGAAATGTAAGCCTTTTTTCAAAATTTGAGATATCATCTCCCTTCCTCAGTTTCCCCTGGAGCATCCAGATGAGTGCAGATTTTTGGTTCCCCAGGTTCAAGTAACAGAACTGCAACTTGCCCTGCAACTACTTGTCCCTGGGAAACACCCATGCCACATGTGCTTTGGTGAGTGGCATGTTACCTGAGGGCAGTAGGGGAGGCTGGGGCCAGCACTGTGCTGGCCCCAGCAGCCTTGCCTGGTGTCCTGGGGGCCTCCCAGGGATGCAGCTAGGGCAATCCTGCTGATCAGAGCCTGGCCAACAGTCCGGGCAGCCAGGCTCTGCTTTTCAGCACCTCATGCTACTTGTGCATGTACTGCTCCATTTTTTTTTCCCTAGGCTTTCTTGACCCCTGGATATCCAGGGTTAAAAAAAACCCACAGAAAAAAATAAAAAACAGAGCAGTGAATGCACGGGCGGCGTGCCCTTGCAGCATGGAGAACACCTGACTGTGTGGTGTGGTGCTGCAGATGCATCTGAACGCTTGTCTGGATGTGTGCCCCTATGTGTAAAATGTGACCCGCAATTGACACAGATCATTTGAACGATACATTTGTGTTTTTATTTACATATGTGCATCTAAAACCTGGGCAACGTATATCTTACAAATTGATTTAATTGAGCGATGGCTTTCTAAACTGTTTTGAGATCTTCATATGTGTTTATTTTAAAGTATTTTACTGTGGTAAAGTATGACATTGTTTTCTAGGTACAGTCACTTGATTTGAAATACAGACAAAATCTTTTTCTACTGTTTTTTTAAATTACAGGATGAATCTACAGGGGAAATCACATTTTACATGAAAGGTGCAGATGTTGCAATGTCCACCATCGTACAGTACAATGATTGGTTAGAAGAGGAGGTAAGAAATACTATGATTGTTTCCAGTTTCAAGAGAAAAGGCTGAGTGATAGAGTTTTGTCATGCAAAAATATTTTATGACTGAAGTTTGTAAAGAACAGAAGGAGAAACTGTAATTTCTTCTTTAACACAGATGCTATTGGAATAGGTTCAGAGATAAAAATCTTGAGCCAAAACAGTAATGGATTGTGAAATGCTATTACGTGTCTCATGAAAAGGTTTTAAGGAGTTGCAGTTGTTACCAATTTTTATAACCCTGAAAGAAAAGCAAAGCTAACAATTTGACTAAAAGACATAGTGATCTAAAACTAAAAATATTTTTATTTTGGCAAATGACAATTGCAAAGCAAATGTACTCACACAACCTAATTACTCCTGAGATATATTTTCAGTACAATCCTTTTTGTCCAGGAAAACAGTTTTAAACACTTTTATTCTTAAATTGTGCAGTTGTTGGGGAGTTCTGAAATATCATCGTAGATGTAATCATAATGAGGTGTTTTTTCTTTATCATGATTTGTAGACATCTAATTTTTTCAGTAATCCAAGCTCAGTTAATACATGTCTTGGCACAAAATAAATTTCAAAACTGCTTTAATTTTTCCATTGTGGTGTGGGTAGTAGGCACCAGCAATCATCTTAATCTGACCCTACATACAGACAATATGGTAATACAATGATCGCACCATGTATGTTCATAATGGTATTGGCAATATGAATCAATATCTGCTTCAGGGCAGTTTGATTTATTCAGGGACATGAATAAATTAAACTCCCTCAAGACCTAGCAAAATGTCATAAAAATTACTTTTGGCGATAACGATACACAATTAATTGTGAAATACTTGTTTAATCTATTTAGCATTATGAGGTCAAATCAATAAGTGTTTTGCACCAGGAATACAACATGAAGCTTGTTTTTCATTAAGACGTTTGTTTTATGCTGTTTTTAAGTCTACTTTTAGTGTGTTGTCTTCTTATCAAAAAAGAACCACATTTCCTGTGAAGAAATCATATTTTCTTAACAGTCATTGCTTAGCTCAATTACATGTACTTTAGCCATGTACAATACTAGTTTTAATCCATTCTAAAACTTCAGTCAGATGGAATTTTACTTATTAAAAAGATTGGCAGGAGGAATCCAGGTGACCTAACAATAGAATACTGTGTTGTGTAGGAGAACCAAAATGCAGCTTTTTTTCCCCAGATTTCATCTCTAGCTATGCCAGATGAGCAAGTACTGGTAACGTTGAAGTTGGAAAATAACCTTTAAGTCCATTTCCTTTAGTACATCTTGCCAAAACAACTTGTTTTATGTTACTTTATGTTGCTTTATTGCTTTCTTCTATCTAGTTGTATGTTTTTGCAGCAATCTAGAAACAACATGTTCAACTATAGTGGCAGGTGACTGTGCTGCTGTTTGAGGATCATGCCGTTGATTGTTTGAATGAAGCTAGTGATTTTTACCTTCAGTTTTTTAAATGATGTAAATCCTCATGAGTAGAAGAAAGAGAAGAAAGAGGAAGAAGAATTATTTCTTATCCCATCACCTAAAAAAAAAGTGGGATAAGAAAAAGAATGAAAATTTTCAGCTCAAAATTACATTTTTGAGGGACAGTTGTAAATCAGTAAGAATGCCTTCTGAATCATAATTTCACTCTTAGATACATGTCCCTGAGACTTTGAACAAACAGGTTGCTGAATATTGTTCCTCTATGGCACATTTATCTAACAAGACAATCGGAGTGTTACAAAGCTTATATCTGCCCATCCTTTATCCTACAGATCCTCTTCACAATAGAAGGCTGAGGTATTAGAGATGGAAAAAAAAACCCTACATTTAATTTGTTGTCCACAGTCACTTGTTGGTCTCTTGGTGAATTTTACTTCCAAGGTTTTGCATTTCTCCTGAATATCTGTATCATGGGACTTTTTTTCTCCTTTTCATTAGTCTTTATTTTTTACAAATGATCACATTTTATTTTCTGTTATTTCTGGGTATTTTTGCATTATTTGAGTTATTCTGAATTACACAACTCCTCTCAGTTTATCATCTGTAAATTTCCTTAGTTTGCTGTTTATCCTTTCATAAAATCACCAATGAAGATGTAAAACGATACGCATTCTAACAGATTCATGTGTAATTCACTGGGCACTTTCCTTCCATCCAGTACGTTACCATTTTATAGTGGTATTGTGATTACAGCCTCTTGGCCAATTTTCGGTTTAACCAAGCCAGTTATAAATACTTTTTCAACTAAGACTTCTTGAGGCATGGTATCAGATGCTTTTCTCAGTGTCTGGTGCTCCACGATGATCCAAATCGCTTCTGTGTCTCAGCTTTGTAAAGAAAAGGGCATTTCTGAGAAAAAGGAATTACCAGACAGGGTTAAAACTGCTATGCTTTTGTACACGTAAGAAACCAATCTCATTAATTTAATATGGAGTCAGAGTTTGCTATAGTACTAAATAGATCAATCCTGGTTCTAATGCCCAATCTCATGACTTTTCCCGAGGATGGTTTACATCTGGGATCAATAACCTTATTGCCCCTTGGCCAAAGAGCCAACCTGCAAAGAGATTGGATTTGGTCAGGTAGGCTATGTCCAGATGAGTGGGGCCATGTGGTATGTGGTGCTGCAGACAGGTCTGTGGCACTGCATACTTAGCTGTTCTCCACGTGCCCCCAGCGATCCCGGGGTCAAAAAAAACCCACGCAAAAAAGAAGCGGAGCAGCGCACATGGGAGTAGCACGCACCACTCAAAACTGGAGCCTGGCCAGCTGGAGCCACACTCTAGCTGCCACCCAGGCTCCAAGCGGCAGGATTGTCAGTGTTTAACCCCCCTCCCTGGTCCCAGACTCCAGCCTGGATTTGCCTGGGGGCGAGCAGTCCCCAGCAGGGACTGGGCTCTATCCCTAGCCGAGTTTGCCCCACCATCCCCTTGCGAGCCAGCCGTCACTGCTCCAGGTAGGGAGCAGAGGGGTAGGGCCAGCCCTGCTCTCTGGAGCAGACAGCACAGTCCGCCCCAGGCTGCAAAGCATGCTGGGATGTTGGGGAACTGTGATTGAACTTGAACCAGGAAGGGATCTGGGACAGAAGTTTCATAAACTGGTTTGATCCAAATCAGTGAAGTCTGATGCTACATTCAACCAGGTTTAACTTAAATCAGTTTCAGCCATTTTGAAACTGGTTTAGATGCACTGAGCTTATGTTCTGTTACAGGTTTAAACCAGTTTCTGATCACTTAAACCAATTTATGTGTAACTTCTGTCCCTAGCCAAGGTATGCTGCTGCTTCTTGTCCCTAGGGAAACAAATGTCCATGCTCGTGTGGACACAGGTATAAGATGCAAACAAGCCTAGAGCAGCATAGAGAATGAGGCATCCTACAGCTGACCCAAACCACTCAACCCCTATACAGCAGCCTCCTCTGCAGCCCTCCCTGCTGCTCTCCCATGCCTGCACTTACTCTTGCTGCACAGGGCCTGGGTATCTGTAGCCAAGGAAGCATAAGCAACTTGAGCTCTCCTGGGGTTGTCTATATGCAGCTTATGGCAAGGAGCCAGGTCACAAGCTCCAGGCTGGGGCAGCAAAAAGTTGCTGATCCTGGTCTACATGTAAGTCAGGACTTCAGCCTCTGAATAGATGCCTTACATGGTGCGGGAAAATTAATTATTCTTTTATCTTTATTTACAACAATATAGTTTTATAAATACAACAGTTGCATTCAAATCAGGGGTGGCCAGCTTGTGGCATGGGCAGCCTGTGTGTGGCACGTGGCAGATAGAACAGAGGCAGCTAAAGCAGAAAACAAAAAAGCAAATCAGGCAGGAGCACAGGGCAGGAAGCAAAAAACAAAGCAGCAGATTGGGCAGGGGAAGGGGTTTGGACTGGCACTCAGGGAAGATGCGAAGCTAATCTGTGGCATGCCTACCAAAAAGCTTGTGTCCATCCCCCCCCTCCCCCCCATCCTAAAAAATCTCAGGTCTTGTTCTGACTATATTTATGGAATCCCTTGGTCTTTATTCCCTTTTAAAATTGAGTTGCTTTTAGTTGTTTGTATGTGAAGTTTGCTCAAGAAGTTCCTCAGACAGGACAATATAATCAAGTTTATTTTTTTACAGGATGATATCACAAATATTATTGATTTTTTTTTTTCCCCTCTTATCTATTAGTTAGACATAATTTTACTTAGTGTTCAGACCAACCTTACAGGGCTAAAAAACCAAACTGATTGTTCTTGACCATAAAACTTTTGTTTATGTAGTATCATATAACATGGTGTTTTAATTAATACCTGCACAATTCTTCTGTATTTTTGTCTATGCAGTGTGGCAACATGGCACGAGAAGGATTGCGCACTCTGGTTGTTGCCAAAAAGTCATTAACAGAAGAACAATACCAAGATTTTGAGGTATAAAAAGATGCACTCATCAATGTTCCTAACATGTCTCATGAATTCAAGTAAAGCAAAGTAACACAACAAGGAATGTTGCTGTTTTTATTTTATTTAAATGGCACATATTGTTATTTAAAATATTGGTTACAACAGTTTTATTCAAATGCCTTTGAACAAAAATGTTATATAGTGTCGTATCTACCGTTATCCCGCAGTATCTATTCCAAGTCACGTATAAGATGTTGGTCCTACAAGGACCATAACTGCTTAAGTGTCCTCAAGCCTGCTCTTAATTTGTCTTCACAAAGTTCATTATGAACATTAGAAAAGGAAACTTGAAACTGATTTGTTGACTTAAAATTAAATGATTAAAGAATGACTTTTACTTTACAGAATTGTGTTGGGGTTTTTTGTGGTTTTAGGATATTTAACTAAGATACTGCATCAGGAATCTTCATTGTCAGCAAATCCTAACAGACTGAAGATTCATTTTCTCTTTATCAGTGGTAGCCAGATGTCTCTAACTGATTTTTGGTTTTTGTGTTTCTGCAAGCAGAATAGATATAACCAAGCAAAGTTAAGCATACATGATAGAGCCCTGAAGGTTGCTGCTGTTGTGGAGAGTTTGGAGAGAGAAATGGAATTGCTATGTCTCACTGGAGTAGAGGATCAGCTACAAGCTGATGTTAGACCAACTCTGGAAATGCTGAGAAATGCTGGAATAAAGGTACCACTTGCTCATTTCCAAAGGGCAATTAGCATAACATTTTGATTGTAAAAATACCAGCACTGTGTACCTGCCAGCAGGTGGTACCATCTTTCAGTTGGCTGATCTCTGGCAAATCCTTTATGGGGCTTATTCACTTCACAGCTAGTCAGCTTGATATCTGAGGAGGCTCTCCCCTTCACTGCATGCTCCCATTTTGCTGACCTGCCACCGTACACATTTCTGGTCTTACACATCATCTGGACCATAGGGAAAGGGCTTCTTGACTCCTATTGATTGGTTGCTTCACCCTTCTCTCTCCTTTCTGCACCAAAATCTCTCTTCCTCAATATATGCTGCCTTAACCTCCTTCCTCTCTATCTCCCCTCCTCTCTCCACTCTCCTGCCCTCAGTGGACAAGGGAGATTAAAACAGTAGACAGTGGCTACATAGAGACCTAGTATTGAATAGGGTCAGGGCTGGCCCACAATTTTTGGGGGCCCCCTGCAAAATGTAGTTTTGGGCATCCCCCTGACGCGGTGAAGCTGAGAGGGGAGGGGGGTGGCAAGCAGCTGAAGAAGCCGGCAGCAGGGAGGGGGGGGGCGAGTGGCCAGATGTGAAGCTGGCAGCGGCAGCAACAGAGTCGTGGCAACCCCCCCACCCCCCCCCCCCCCTTGCTACAGCATTGATTTGAAGTGTTCATGGCCACAGGGGGCCCCTTGGCTGTGGGACCCCCTCCAGCCACAGGTTTTGCAGGATAGGACGGGCCAACCCTGAATAAGGTAGTTGGAAACAGAAAGGAACTAAGAAAATTTGTGCCATTCCTGAACTTGTCCATTTTACTTGTATATTTTTGCATCTCTTTCTCCAACCCCTTAAATGTTTTTGTCCTTTTAAAATGTAAACTCTGGATCAGAATCTGTGTCATCTTAGATATGTGAGTAGGGTATAGCATGTTTGGGGTGAAATTCTCGTTTCCAGTTCCAACCTCTTTACAATACCTAGAAGAGTTGGACCAGGGAGGAAACCGTGTCTACGCACAGAAACTCTGGAAGACAGATCTGAAGGCTTTATCACAAGAGCTTGTACACAAACCCCAATGCAAAAGGTGTACTGAAAATGAAGCCACATGGGTTATGTTACAGGCAAGGCTAAACCATACTGTACTACAGAAGTTCTGGGCAGCACTGTAATCCACAGAGCAGCCCCAGGAGACTGCCATCATTTACTGTTCTCAGCAGGCTTTTCCAAGCCAAGGACTAGGAAAACACAAAAATGGCTTAAAGCTTCTTAGGTTGCAGATAATGTGCTGAGCCTCATAAAGACACCACTCAAAATCTCACCCCATGTGCACTATTGTACTGAAAATTATACATTTCATTAACTTAATTTAATAATGTGCAGCCAGTTAATCCTCCTGTTTGTCAGATTCAGCTCTCAAGGAGGAGATTTGAGGAAGCCGTGTATATCATTCAGTTTTTGAGAACAGTGACCTTAATGTTCACCTGAATTAATTTCAACATTGTTTTGCAGATATGGATGCTAACAGGAGATAAACTGGAGACAGCTACTTGTATTGCAAAAAGTTCCCACTTAGTATCTAGAACTCAAGATGTTCACATTTTCAGACCGGTAAGTATAGCTCCAAATATTTATTTATTTTTTTTATACTGGCCTGGTGAAGTAAGGGTTAAATTTTAAAATATTGGTTTATAAGTGATGGATTATTAATAATGAATTTGATATTCATGTTAATAGATTAATTACAAAAATGGTGTGCTGTTATTGTGCACATCAGATTACAGTTCCATAGAAATTGGACTTGTAACTATTTAAAGACTGAAGATTATAAATCATTCTGTATGTCTGGCATTTTACAGAAGATATATTTGTTCTTACCCACCAGTCTTTATGCTTAAGTAATTCACTTGATTTCTGCAAAGTTATTCCTGGATTACATTGGTGGAAGCGAGAGTCCAGAGTCCTTCTGCAAAGAGGCTTAATTTTTTAATCTACTGTGTTTTTCAAGTAAAATTTATATTTTATTCCTTGTCTCTTGAAAACAATTAATAGATAAGTAAACTCAATATCAAGTTATATACATTTTTGTTATAATTGAATAATGTCAACTATGCTGAATTCAAACAAAAATAAAGATTTCCCAGGCCTTGATTGATGATGTGTGATCAGACATAATATGTCTGTGTTTGTTCTAAATGAACCACTTGCACCTACAGAAATAATTATTTGAATATAATTTACATGTAAATGTAGTTTCTTCTGAAGCATCAGAATGGCAAATTAGGCCCTGCAGACTACTATTTGCAATTAAATTATTAATGCTTCTGATAAAACTTCAGATCAATTTTTGTTGACCTTTCCATGTTGTAACACCACAAATTAAGTCTTCCTGAATAAAATCTATTTAGCTTGAGTTTGATTTTTATTTTCATTACCTAGATTAGTAATAAGAGATCAACATAGAACTGTGTTAATTTAGAATACATGAAGTTTTAAATTAGTTAGAAAATGCATTTATACAGAATTCTATCTTGTCCATGCTGCAGTTCTCAATCAGTTTGGCGAAAAACTGGTTTACCATGTTACAGTGCTTAAAATTGAGTGAACAATGATTCATATAAATATTAAGTTTGACATGATCAGTTTTTTGAGGAGTCTCCCACATGTCCGTTAAAAATATGGTATGACCGTGGCTCATTTTTAATATAGTTTTGATAAGTAACTTTTGGACTTATAATAGGATACAGTACACTATATCTTTGCCTAACACTCATACTCCAAATACAAATTGTCACCAAAAAAATATTTAACATTCAGGCTCTCAAAAAGGTTAGTTTCTTTTATTTTTTTTAATATTCTTTTAATTTTACTACAAGGTTCTCAGATGATGATTTTTTTCTGTGGTGGAATAAACAGGCATGTTCAAACTCTTCCTTTCTCTGTATTAGTTGACTGGCAGCCCTCAAGAGAAAAAAGAATTGAGCTCATCAGCCAATGCAGAGCTAGGGAAGCACAAGGAAATCATTAGTAAACAGGTTTAAAGCTAACAAAAGCAAGTTCTTTTGCACTCAGCCTGGAACTAATTTGTGGAACTAATTGCCCCAAGATACTGTAGAACAGGAGTATGCAACTTTTCCATCTGTAGGCTGGGTTAGACATGGACCCTAGGACCCAGCCCCTGCTTCTCCCTGCAGTGGCATGGGGAGAGCACCCACAGGCAAAGTCCCTCACTGCTAAAGTCCCACAGGGCTGATCCAGTGGTTCCACAGGCTGGATCCTGCCAGTGAACCACGGGTTGTTGACCGCTATTGTAGAGGCAACAGTTGAATGAGATTCAAAAGAGAATTAGACAAATTCATACAGGAGAGGTCCTTCAGTGGATATTAAACATTATGGGCATTTATACATGTATATTTGTCTTCTCTGACATGCCGGAGATCCAGAGCAGACTCGATTAATCATTTGTATAAACAGCAAAATGCACATCAGCATTGAGAAAATGGTTGGAGTACGCTTTTGAACTAAAACACCTTCAATGTGTTTTAGTTCAAAAGTGCTGCGCCACCATTTTCTCAGCACTGACATATTTTGCCATTTACACAGATGTATGCACCTCAGTGCCAGGCGCTTTTAAAAGCACATGTGCAAAGGCCCTATAGTTACAGGTCCAGGTTCGGACTTCCTATACCTCTGAATGATGGAAGCTGTAAGAGAAGAGGTGTAGGGAACAGATCAGACTGGACTGGCCCTGCATAAATGCCCTGTTAGCATCCATTCTGTGCCACTGTGAGATTCAGAATACTGAGTTAAACCTGTAGCCTGACCTAGGGTGGCATCTCTTGTGCTGTAAATAGGGACATCTCTCAATCCCTGAAATGCTGTATACTGGCTGTGTCTACCTGAGATGCTAACTGGGCAGTAGCGTCGCAGGGCAAAAAGCATGACGCAACACTACTGCGCAATAGTCTCAGGCTAGTGTGCAGTCAGCATCATGACAAAGTCATTTGGCAATGTTACTGCACAGTGACTCGGGTTGAACTAGTTTATACAATTACTAAATGACTGCGTCTCATGTAGACGCAGCCAGAAAGTGTAGTTGTCCCTTCCCCAAATCCCAGTGGCATAAATAATAAAAAACTTTTCCACTGATTATGTTTAACTTTGAAAGGAGGGAAAAAGAGTTCCACATCTGCTGTTTTAGGAACAGTTTTTGTCACTGTTGTTGTTGGGGTGCATTAAAACACATCTACAGATCTTTATATGCAGTTAATCCACTGTGAGGAGTTCTTACTGTTTCCAGATCCAGATCTATGATTTCTACTATTGAAGAGAGACAGGTCCCAGGAAGGCTGGTTCTGGTTTTGAGCCAAAAACAGTGTTGCTTCAAACCATTTTGTATACTGGTGGAGACTCAGAAATTTTAAATGTTATGGCTGCATTCAGACTAGCACAACCATGCAGTATGAGGTACCACAAATGTGTGTGGTGCCACGTACTGCATATTTAGATGTTCTCTGCACTTCAAGGGAGCGCTGCCCGTGCATACACTGATCTGCTTTTTTTTCCGCAGGTTTTTTTGACCCCTGGACATCCAGGGGTTAAAAAAACCCATAGGAAAAAAAGGTGGAGTAGTACACACTGCTCAAAAGTGGAGCAGGGCTGCCCAGGGCCATGCTCTGGCTGCCCGCCAGCCTCCACATGGCAGAATCACCACTGCTGCAGCCCCATGAGGACCCCAGGACTCCAGGTAAGGCTGGTGGGGCCAGCCCAGTGCTAGTCTCTGCCCCCCTTACCCCACTCCAGGTAACTTGCCGTGCCCCAAAGCACACATGGCATAGGCATTCCCCAGGCACAAGCAGCAGTGGCACAAGGTGTACCACCACTACTTGTCCCTGGGGAACCAAACATCCACTTATCTCATCCACCCTCTTGTGAATGGTAATTCAAACAATCCTACCCAGAATTCAATACTTTGTGTATAAAAGCCAGTATATTTGAAATCTGTTGAATGTTCAGTATTTTAATTTGCTCCAGAAAATTCCATTGCCTAAACTTTGAATTCATTCTGCATTTTACAAATCTAATTCAACACTGTGATATATGTATGTGACCAAAAAATACTGCATGCTCTTATGTCACTTTGCGCTGGTTGTTCAGATTCAAAATAGTCCTTGTATAGTGAACTAATCTAAACTTTCTCAAGTATAAATGCCAAATCAAAAAATATATAGTGCTAGTAATTATATTTCTTTGCTTCTTGAGTTGTTTCTTATCTAAACCAACAGCACTATTAATAGGGGAACATCACATTATTCCACAAATGTTCTACTTATTATCAAGTTAAATCATTTTTTTCTGAATTTGGGGGTTCATTGAGAGTCACCAGACTTGAATGTCTTGTCTGCATAAACTACTGCTTTGGTGAGGTATTGAATGAGCTGCCTACTCAGATTTGTTTTGTGTTTCAAGATTTCTTTTGCATCTAAATTCTCTCGCCTGCAATGGGAAAGTTGTAAACCTGTTGCTGTGTAGGTACATTCACATTGGAGAACAAGTCTTGGAATGTTTTCTGCTTGTGTTTTCTAAGTAAGTTGTCATATTTCCATTCACAGTTGTTCAGCAATTAAATCCTTCCATTTTGTTTGTATTGGTATTGAAGGTAACCAATCGAGGAGAAGCTCACTTAGAACTAAATGCCTTTAGAAGAAAGCATGACTGTGCCTTGGTGATATCTGGTGACTCTCTAGAGGTGAGATCTGGGTTTCTATCAGATGTCTTTTAACTGTATCAGAGTATATAGAAAGGAAATTGTTATTTTCATTTATTTAAAAAGGCTTTCAGAATCCTCCTTAAATCCTGCTTTAAATTATCCTCATGGTTGCTAGTAAGGTTTAATTGAGCAATAATTAAAAAATGCCTCAACTAGACAACAAAATCTTGTTCATTTCATGGGTTGTCACCAAAAACAAGGTTCACTGAACGGTAACATAAAACACATATACAATACAATTCATATAACTAAGTTGTTTTGTCTTGTCTGTTAACACCAAAGAAATAACTATAAAAGTTTACAATATGTCAAGTTCAAAAAAATGTGAACACATTATTTCTCACATTGATAGCATTAAAGCAATACACTGTTTAAAAAAAAAAAAAAAAAAAGTAGTATTTCATTTTCTCTGATATTAATTTCTTAGTAGTGAAATGAGCCCAGACTGGGGTGCCACTCATACTTTGGAATGAATGTCATGTAAGATGCTTTTTTCCCTAGGTTTGTCTGAAATATTATGAACATGAGTTTGTAGAGCTGGCATGCCAGTGCCCTGCTGTAGTGTGCTGTCGCTGTTCACCGACCCAGAAAGCCCATATTGTGAAACTCTTACAACACCACACTGGAAAACGCACATGTGCAATAGGTAAGTGTCAGATCCAGTTTCATTTTCAGGAATTAGAACTTGGTAAACTTGGCCAATAGATGGCAACAGGGAGAAGTAAATTAAAAGCAAATCCAAAGGATTACATACCAGTGTTTCAAGATATTTCACTGACAAGTATTAGTGATTTTCAGTAAATGATGCCATTGCAAGAGAAGGGGGGAAGTTAAAATGCTTATGAAAAATATTTTGACCTTTGAAACTATATTACTTTTAACCCAAGCATTAATATCAAGAATTTAATGCAGATAAGTACAGTACTAAAAAAGCAAACAAAAAAAAACAATGAAAGGGGGAGAAATATGAACAGCTGAATATTGCAGTGACACTTTTCAGGTGATGGAGGAAATGATGTCAGTATGATTCAAGCAGCAGACTGTGGAATTGGAATTGAAGGCAAGGTAATATTGTTTGTTTTCTCACTTATAATTTCAACAATATTGTATTAGAAGGGCTTTTTTAAAGCTACCTAATTAAACAAGTGTTATAGTGCATCCATACTTTTCAAACTTCCAGACTAATATTTAAGTATTTAAAAGGAATGTCACAAAGCTGTAAGAGAAATGTAATCTTTCTGTCATACCTTCTTAACTTCAGTCTGTTCTAACTTAACTTTTTTTTCTCTTTAAAAATGTAAGAATAACAAAATCTCTGTAGGTTATTTTTTTAGTTCAATATTTATGTTTTAGTGAATGATTCAGGATGAGTGACTATACTTCAGTAGTTAGTGACTCTTAAAGTATATACAGAATATTATATGTTGCATTCAACACTACAGTGCTGCTAAAATTGAATAATGAAGAAGGAATATTACACGTACAAACTGTTGCATTATGAAAATTCTGCAATCTGGACATTTCTGCATTGATTTTGATGTGTTTGTTTTGTTTTAGGAGGGAAAGCAAGCTTCCTTGGCAGCTGACTTTTCTATCACACAGTTTAAACATATAGGCAGGCTGCTGATGGTACACGGTCGAAACAGTTACAAAAGATCAGCAGCACTTGGTCAATTTGTCATGCACAGGGGCCTTATTATTTCAACTATGCAGGTATTTCAGTTTCTGTCTTGGTAGAACACCCACTAATGTCATTACATTTAAAATACTATTGTGAAACTAAATTTAATCCTTGAATCCGATTTTCTTTTTTTCTTTTTTTTTTTTAAATTGTACTGCACTGCACATGGAAGCATCTTAAGTAATTTAGTGATGCTCAGTTTTAAAATGTGCTGTCTTCTCTTTTTCAAGGCTGTATTTTCTTCAGTCTTCTATTTTGCATCTGTTCCTTTGTACCAGGGATTTCTAATGGTGGGGTAAGTTACAGCCAAAATCTTCAATACCTAGTAAAGTCATTCCAAACTAACTTTGTTTTTGGTGGGGCGGGGTCTTTTTAAAAATATATACCATTGATCATTTCTGTCACATTTGTAATTAATATGTCAATGGATGCTGGTATGAACAAATAGCCATACACGTAATTCAGGGTCACAGAGCCCAGCCCAATCTCCTTTACTACCTCTCCAGGGTGAACTTCCCAAAACATAACCAAATACCAAGCACCTGATCATCATGGCTTTATAGAAATAAAACTCATCCTCTAAAAAATAAACAAAGCAGACATAAAGATGCATTGGTGAGGTGTCACATTTCATCGCAAGCCCCACAATCCAAGTACCTATAGTGTGGCAACTTCAGAGGCAAGTGAGTTTGCATCCAAATAAACCTACCAAAGGATGAAAATCTAAGCCACCCTAGTGTTGGCACCTTCCAGTCATGTATGTGGACATTCTCCTGTCACTCCCAGGCAGTTTCCTGGGTTTCCTTTCTACGGCTGGAACAGTATCATAACTAGGGTACAGTGAGGGGACACCCATCCCACATGCTGACTATGAGTGTTTGCCTTGATCCTCCATACCAGGAGGCTTTGCCATGGCAGGGAAGTTCACCGCTGCTGCCGCCAGCCATAGGAGACAGGCAAGGTAGCAGTGCACTGATCAGTAAGATACTCATCCCTCCTATTTCTGCAAAGGTTAGTTATGACTGTCTTCCACAAGAAGCGGTCTCCAAAACTGCTGCCTCCACTCAGAAAGGGAAGCATCTAACAACTTCAAGGTGCTGCTTTGTCAGTTTTGCTCTGGGATCACTTACTAACAACAAACATGAGGGTAAGGGTCTGGGTCTGGGTCTCCCTCCATGCCCTGCGCCCTCTCCTTACTAACAGCTTCTTTTATAGCCCTTATTTTTATTACAAGAGTATCTAGAGCCTTCAGTCAAGTTTGGAACCTGTTATCCCTGGCATACATTAGGCATTGCATAGGTGTATATTAAAAATATTCAAAGCACTCTCAAAATCATGAGACCATCACAACAAAAATAAATTACAGGCAGTCCTCAACTTACAACATTTCGAGTTACAACATTTCACACTTACAATGTTTATAAATTGATACCGTTTCAACTTTCTGACGTCAGTTTCAACTTTCCAACACTTGATCTGACGCCAAGCCATGCCAGCGAACAAGTTCACTGCATCACGCATCTCCCTGGAGAACATCTGTCCAAACTTCCTTGGACACTTTAAGAAAGCAGACAAGACTCCAGAAAAACCTGCAGCCAAGACTCCTGAGAAAACTCCAGCCAAAAACCCTTCAAAAAGTCCAACCAGGAGCCCTTCAAAACATCCAGCAAAGTCTCCTTAAAGAAGTCCTTCCAAATCAATATGATTGCTATTTACAATATAAGTACATTAATGTAGCTATATTACTCATCTATAATTGATTGAGTGCACAATGTTTTGACTTAAGACGTGGTTTTCAGGAACCAATTGTGTCGTAAGTCTGAGGACTGCCTGTATATTTGGTTTCAAATCCAGTAATTGTATATCAGCATGTACACACTGGTACTAACAATCCACTCCACTTGTGCTGTTAAGACTTCTAAACCACCTGTGAGGGACAGGAGAGCACTTGTTTCTATATTATTTTTAATAAAGATGCTAAGAATTATAAACTTAAATGCAAGTTCATTGTCATATCCTTTGTCATCAAAATACTTTGTCAAATGTACATTACTGAGTATGAGGCTGATTAGTATGGTGACTGATTAGTGTAAATTTTTGTTTGATATATTTGCATCCATAATTTTATACAATTTAATACAACTGGCAGCTTTCAGAAGCTGTATGGGACAGGTTTTAAAATGGGTCAGTTAGCATTAGCCAAGATACGCAAGTGGATTGCCTAGAGTTTGTCAGGGTAACCATATTCACTCAAAAGAGCCATAAAATTATTTGAGATTAATAAATCAGTTTAAATGGGTAGAAATGAATCATTTTAACATAATTTCACTGTGCTCTTGTCCTCAGGTATGCAACTATATACACTATGTTCCCAGTCTTCTCTTTAGTGTTGGATCAGGATGTGAAACCAGAAATGGCATTGCTATATCCAGAACTTTATAAGGATCTCACAAAGGTATGAATAAGCCACGTGTTTGAATATGAATACTTATTTTGGCTCTAGTATGTGTTGAAATCATGACAGATTTTTATATTTACTCTGTGGAGATATTCCAGGTAAGAAAACCTATAGATAGTGTTGTACAAAAGCCTGTACTGTGTGTGTAGTGCAAGGTAACAAATGTCTAACTTGCTCTGTTAAATAAAATGTTTTGGCAAAGTCAGCAGAAGTCAGGCAGACTGAATTAAGTCAACTAAAATTGTGCATCAATACTACCTTAAAATCATTTGAGATCACTCTTTCTCTTACCCCCAAACAGGATAGTCCTTTCCATCTTGTGCACTATTTAAAAGACCATCAAACAGTGCTATTTCTTATAAAAACTTAACAGTTAATGGCAATAAAAATACTTTTCAAATGAAAGACTAATTTATTGCTTTGTATTTCAAATACTCTGTGTTTGTCCTACTTTTTTTGCATCTTGAATAAAAGGTCATGAGGATTTTAAATGGTAGTTATTGCCCAGTTAGCAAGCTGAGGTCTGTACCCTGGAAACCTTGTTTAACTCTTCAATGTTGTATAGTGATATGGTGAAATTAATATATAGTGATGTAGTGATATGGTCAAATTAATGCTTTTGAATTAATGCTTTCCATTTATCTCATCAAAATTTACACAGCCCTAGGCCATCTGATTTCCAGGTGTTCTTATTTTTTAATTATTTTTTAAATCCAGTGAAATAATATAAATTCTGGGAGGCTTTCCGGTTTTAAATTATTTTTTAATTTTATAATAAAAATTTTTGCAGATTTTGGGTTTTAAATAAAATTGATGGTTTTAAGCAGAAGTTGATTATTTCTTTGGAATAGGGACTGCATTGTCACTTGCACTTGAAAGTGTGTAGCGCATTCTGTACACCAGTTAAAATAGTAATTTCTCTAGGGAAATACAAATTTAAAGTATTTTTTTTAACCTGAATACATAGTATACAGCATGCCCTGTAGCTTCTATTTCATCATGATGTTTTTGTGCAATGTACAGTAAGTACACTGAATTTTATAATAATATTTACATTCAACACCATTAGCTCAGGTGGCTCCTTTGAGATGGGGAAAGTATTTGAGAGCTTTTTTTTTTTTTATTTGTAATCTGTTAGCTACTCCTGGAAATGTTTGTTCTCTTGCCTGGCCTTCTAGAACTGTTAAGTCATTTAACAAACAGTCCAAGTTATATGATAGCCAGCAATTTCTAAATATCTGTGGAAATAATAATTTATTTTTGTTTTAGCTCCACTAACAAATTCCTTATTCATAACCCAGCTTCTGCTTGTGGATAAAGTTTTCATCCTTTGCCTTATTTACTATGCAATTTTGTATCTCAGGTGTTCCAGTAAGAAATATTTATTCCAAATATCTAATATCCTGACCTACAATTATATTCTCAGTAGTTTTATCTGGTGATAAATCTACACTACTTTGTTATCCAGAACTTTGTTTAAAAACCTGAACGCAGCTGCTGCAAAGTAAAATATTGCCTACTTTTCTAAATGCTGCTGCTCTCTGATCTGCTGTGCAGGTCACCCCAGATTAGAAGTGGTTTCAGGGCTTCTGCTTCCTTGGCCAAAAGAGATTGGGTGCATCAGAAAAACTAATCTTTGCCTGTCAGGAGTTTTGTCCTCTGGAAAAGAAAATGCAGGCTTCCTGGCCAGTAGAAACCTGTTTGGAATTCAGCAGCCAAAACATAGTAATGGAAGAGAGAATAAAAACTGGGAAAACAGCAGTTTTCAGACCAAATTCCTTATTTTTCATTAAGTTGGATAATTGCATCATAGTAGTCAATTGAACTGCTAGCTCTAGTTGTTTCTCAGTCTACCACTTCCAGATTCTAGATCTCTGCTTCCTGCCTTCCTTTCAACTTGCATTTTGTACAGTAGCTGACACATTTGTAGGATGTTGCCTCCTGATTTAATGCAGTGGTTCTCTTTGGAATACAAGCACCACTTTAAACTATAGTGTCTTTGGCCTAACTTTAGAGGTTGCAGGAAGTTTTCAGAGTCATCCCCTAATGACTATACAAAGTCTATGTTTACCCTACAATTCTGGGGCTCTGGCTTTATGCTTGGTAAACTTTCATCCTAAATAAAGTTATCCCAAAGAAACCTGAAATGCCATAACTTCTTTTGTTCCCCCTCACAAGCTCAGGCTGTGCAAATGTACCTCTTTCCTAACACAGTTATGAATAAAGCCTCAAAAGTTAATTTGTATGCCAGCATCTCCAAAGATTTCTCAAGTTGTAGGGGTTTATGGAGACATTCTCAGAGCCTGATGGACCAAACTCTTCAGAACGTTTTACTTTAAGTTTAAACTAGGGCATGTTACTTTTAGGGAAAAGGGAATTACTGGTATTTTTACATGTGTTCCCCGACATGGCACTGGGCACTTTAATTAGCGAGCCACACTAATTTCCATGCTGCAGCAGACTCAGTTAATCGAGGCTGCTCTGACTTGCTGGATTTCCAGCATGTCAGAGCAGGCTCTGTGCACACACATAGGAGCTCAATTGTTTTCTCATTTATTTTACTTTAATTAATATTTCAAAGCTTTCAGAGCCTTCAGCCCATGCTAGTCATCCTAGGAGAGCTCAAACCCACTTGCTATTACCAAAGATAGTCATGAGCTTTGTCATTCAGATCTGCTGGTGTTATACGAAAGGAGCTGATTTCCAAAGATGGTATTTGTAGAAGGTAACTTAGGGTGTAGCGAAGCATTACACTTCTATCAGTAGAATTGTTTTTAGTGTGGTAGAAATGTTTAGCATACATGCATTCACACCGCTTAATCTGGTCTAAAAATGCTGCACCGGGTGGAAAGTTAAACCCAGATTGACAAAGTTTAATCTTAGTGCAGTATGGATGAGTCAGATTAACAAAAGCTTGTACAGTTCCCATGTTGGTAGAAGCTTCTCTGTTGTCCTCCAGGCATTGCTTCTCCTCCCCTCTCCCTTCCAGAGAGGGACAGTCTGTGACTCAACCAGGGGTTTGGTCTGGCTGAGTCACAGACCAAACCCCTTCCCCTGTCGTCCCTGGGGCCCAAAAAGCCCAGACCCTCTCCACAGCCCCAGGGCTGTGCAGCTGTTACCTCCACCCCTCCCCAAACAGGTGGGAGAGCCACTTGCCAACCCCCCAGACCTGCTAGCACCCTGGCAACATGGGGGCTTCAGGTGCAGAGCTCTCAAGTGCTGCGTGGGGAAAGAGCCTCTCCTCACTCACAGCACTTGAAAGCCTGCACCTGCAGGCCCATGCACGGAGCTGTGAGTGCTGGCTAGAAGTGCTGCGCAGGGACAGCATCACTCCCTCCTGGCACTTCAGAGTCCTGCACCTCCAAATCCTTATGCAAGGCTGCTGGCACATGCTTTGAAATCAGGAAGATGCTCTCCCTGGCAGGACTTGAGAGTCCTAAGCTCTGGTGGCAGTAGTGGGGCTTCCTGCAGCCAAAACCCCAGAATCACTGTCGTGAAAGTCCCCCACTCCATGGCAAGAGCCGCAGCCTCAAAAGATAGGAGACCCCTTGAGGACTGCTCTCTGATAGCTTGATAGCTGAGAGGCTAGGAGGGAGAGGATGTCGTTAAGAGTGAGGCATGGTCCCTATGGGCCAGAGTCAGTCAGCCCTGACTTGCTCCCGCCATGTGGCCACCTGTCTCCAGGCATGCTGGGATGTGTGCTCTGGGCCCCCTGGCTGGATGCCATCTGTAGCACAGTGTGTCTGTAGCTTGCCTGACCTTCAACTGGTAGTATTTTCCACCGCTTAGTCTAAACTGTTTAATTTCCACTGGTTCATTTGAATGCTTATATGCACCCTTAGGCTCTGTGACTTGCTGCACCAAATCACTGAAAGACAAATTATACTTTTCTTAAAGCAGAAGCCAGAAAGCTTGAAGGCTCTAAATTCTTGGGTTCCATGGCTTGGCACCCACAGAAGCATATTTCAAATTGATAGTGCCCGTAATACTCTTTTAGGAAATAAAAATGAGCATGTGGGGAAACTTGAGAACTACTGAGTAATATTTCTGGTTAAAATATTGTGTGATCAGTAATGCACAAATGACTCATGTTTTACAAGATTTGTATTTGGCTCTAGCAGTACAATGTAATTCTCTTGTGAGTATTTGTTATAGACACTCATGATTGTATTGCTCTAGGATCATAGCAATATGAAACAAACATATTTCTGCATATCTCTTTTTATATTATAGACACTAACATAAATCTTTGCCGATACTATGCAGCTGAATACCTCTTCTACTGTTGCTTACATATTGACATGGGATAGGAGTCAGATTCTTATGGTTTGGTTCATTTTCTGGGACATGCTAGCACTGGAAAGGTCCTGTGGTGGGGGGAGAGGTGCAATAACCCAGGCTGCTCTGTCCAGGGAGTCAGAACAAGCTGCAAAGTTGAGAGAGAAGGTGAGAGCAGCTTAGTATGGCTGCATCCCTCTACCTGGGTTCAGCACCTCAGCCACCATGGCTCTTATGGAATCCCACCCATATATCCCTGATGAAACTCAGAGGATAGGTGCCATTGCTCCCACCACCGGCAAAGGTATGAATCTCCCTCTTGTGCCAGGTGCCTTCAAAGGCATAGAGGTGCACGAATTCCACACCTCTTTCTAAACCCATGGGGGTGAATTGAGTCCCAAGATAGCATTTCTGTAAACTTTTTACAACTATCTCTGTGCACTGTTAATCTGTGGGCCAGAAGAGCCATGCTGTAGGCTCTAGCCATGCTCACATAACATCCAGGCCTTTATGTGAGATCCATACACGATTCTTCTTAGAATGTCTCTGTTTCCCTTTGTTTGCTGTGGATATGTTTTGCAATGGCTGTATAATCATTCAGATAACTGCATTCAGTGTGCTCTTACCTGGACTAGAAGTTTTCCATATTTGCTTGCTTTGGTACCACTATTGCAGGCAATGTGGAAGAATAACAATTTCCCACCCTTAGCTGTACCAGTCCAGGAAAGTGCTTCTTAGTCTCAACCCAGAGCAATAGTGGGTTAATTTGTGGCTGGCTACGGCCATGCTGTTTTGAAATACTTTTTCCTTCTGAATGGTGATCCATATTTTTGCTGATATGATTGCCATTTTCATGGGCACAAATAGTTGTTTTATGCCTACTTTTATTTTCTGTGTTTGCACTTTCTTCCCTATAAAATCCAAATCCCCTCACACAATGCAAGTCCTGAGCACACAAAATTAGTCACATTTTATTTATACAATTTAGACAGTTCATTTTGATTGGGCCCATGGCTTGTTTACGGTCACAAGAAGACAATATTTCCTTATTGGGCAAGGAAATCATCTATGATATTATTACAGCCTTTAGTGTAATAAGCCATATTATGTGTTTCAGTTGGCACTGTGGGCACTGTTTCTTAGCAAATAACTGTCTGACATTCCAAATGGATAGTTAGAATATACTAGACCATACTAGCTACAGTTTTGTTTTATGTTTTGAGATTCAAGTTGGCAGTTCCAAACTACTGTTTAGCTCTCATGTATATAGCAAAGACAACAGGTATAAATACCAAAAAAATATGCAACCGAGTAACACTTTATTGCAACTAGCCCTTCTGAAGAGAGGAAGCAATAGCAGTGCAATCTCAAATGTAGGTCTTCTGTTTGTTCCATTATTGTACCCCCAATATTGGCCTCTTCACACAAATCCAAAGCTAATCCTGAAGCCAGTGGAAACTTTACAGCCGAGACCACGTGAAAATGCTCACTACAGTTGTAAAATTAAGAAGTTATGCCTTGCAAAGTGTAACTGGAATGTCTCTACAGTGCTGAGCTACTTTAAAAATCCATGGATCAAGTAGATTTTTCTACTTCACTTAACTAACCTGTCTTACCTGTTTCCTTTAGGGAAGATCCTTGTCTTTTAAGACCTTCTTCATCTGGGTTTTAATCAGTATTTACCAAGGTAGGAGAGATCCCTAATTTTACTGAACTAAAGATTTTTTGTCTACTATTAACAATATTGTTTTTCAGCTCCAGGTTAAATTCCCAAAGCTTAAAATTTCATCAACAGTTATATATATTGCTTTCTTTTTATCTCGTAAATCGATATTCTAGCATTGTGCCAGGCCTATTCACAATGCAGCATGGATTGGTATTTTTATTGATGCATGTCGCCTAAAAACTGACCTGTTTTTAATTAAATGTTAATCCAGAAAAATTTTAACCAGTGCTTATCACGTTGCATATGCTACACAGTAGTTTTCTTTCATGGAACGACAGAAGTACTATTTTAAAAATCTGAATTATGTAATCAGTTAAAAGTAATTAAGTTCATTTTGTCTAATGCTACAAATAAATGAGATATTGTTGAAAATGTAATTAATGGTTGATCAGATATATTACACTAAAATGTGTTTAATTTTCTGATAGTATTTTTTTTTATCTTACAGTCTTGTTCTGGTTTTACTGTTGTACACACAGAATGGAAGAAATATTAGTCTCACATAAGAAATGAATGGAGAAAACTTTCAAATTAACTGATCCAGTATTTACCTTGCAATTGAAAAGAACACCAAACCAAAATATAGTCGCACAATGAATCTATAACTTTGTGTGCCTTTTTCAGGTGGTATTCTGATGTATGGAGCCCTGCTGCTTTTTGAATCAGAATTTGTACATGTTGTTGCCATTTCCTTTACTGCCCTAATCTTGACTGAGCTCTTGATGGTTGCACTGACCATACGAACATGGCACTGGTTAATGGTGGTGGCTGAATTCCTCAGTCTTGGCTGCTATGTGGCCTCCCTTGCATTTCTAAATGAATATTTTGGTGAGTAGCAATAGAATATCTTTGGCTCAGCAAGTAAGTTTTCTAAAATAGTTGTTTTTAATCTTTTTTCACATGTTATATTGCAAATATTTATGTATTTTTATGAAACCGCTTCAGTGCTTAAGACATTTCATGATAAATTCTAAAATACTTTCTTCGTTTCTCTTCAGGATTTGTAGCGGATTTTTTACATAGTTTATCTATACAGTCTTTTACTCAGTGTGCACATGCTTTTTCTCATTGTGCTTCATTTCAAGGATGATACAAGCTGCTGTCATCTTGAATCAGCTTTGAATCATTAAAGTTAGAGTGATGTTCTAGCCATGATGGTCCAGGAATTATACAACAGGCAAGGATTTCTTAGGGTGATAACTTTTATTGGTCCAACTATATAGTTGGGATAAAGTTAGAGAAGTTTTCAAATGCAAAGCATTCTTCCTTTCCTTTAAGTTGTTAGATGGACAGTACTGAAATTGTATGCGATTTAATAAAAAAAAAATCTTTAAAAGCACCAGCTTTCAAAGCTCTTATAAGGCAGATTTAAAACAGCTTTTGGATATTTGCATATTTTTATTTCTGTAAGATAAAAACAGTTTTGCAACGATAAATAAAATATAAGCAACTTAAGATCATAGGAAAGTAGGTCTGGAAGGGACCTCAGGAGCTCATCTAGTCCATCCGCCTGCTCAAGCCAGAATCATCCTTTACTAAATCATCCCAGCTGTCTGTCTAACCTGCTCTTGAAAGTTTTCAGAGATGGAAGTTGATTTCATGTTTCCATATGAGATGTTTCTATAGGTAGATGAAATGCATGTTAATATTCAGTAATTAATATTCAAGTGTATTTGATAAAGTGGCAGATACAATCCCAAAAGACACTTTTTAAAATATTTTTCAAGTATTGGTTTAAAAAAATGTTCCTTTATAGCTAGCAAAACTTCCTCAGGAATATTATCTTTAGCAAATGTCTATTAAAAGAAAGATATGTGCCTGTTCACCTTAGATATGACCTGCAGTGGACATTTCTTAATCACAGTATGTTGTAATGACTGATGGCAGTGGTGTTTGGAGTACAGTGCCACTTACTCTAAGCATTTTCCACATACAGAAGTCCCTACCGTAAAGTGTTTGCAGTCATATTCTCACTCCAGACTAAGACAATAATAATTAATAATATAATATAAGACAATATTAATTATTTTGCAATCTAAATCAGCTAGCCTCTTAAAATAAGACTAGTGCAGTAAGGCAGCATTTTGCATGTGTATTTTTAAAGTTAGAGAGGTATTTGAGGTTGCCAAAGTTTTGGACCTTGCATGGAGCTGAAGGTTTTATTATCTTTATTCCTGGAAGAAACCAGACCGAGTGAGGTCTCCTTAGATCCATCCAAGAGCATTAAAGCTAAATAAAGCATTAGAGAGCTAAACTAGATGGATTAGCATGTAAGACAGGTAGTTTTGTTGTAAAATCCTTTGCAGCAGACAGTTTCAGAGGTACGTCAGGCTTAGTTTTGTTTCTCTTAAATTCTAGCGTGCCTTAGTTTTGTCTTAGGGCCCTACTAATATATCTAGAAAAATGCTTTGTACATCACCCTGCTGTACAAGGCATACTTTGTTGTTAAAATGCGCATGGTAATATTTAAAGTACATTTCTTTGAAATTTGACTGTGTGAGAAAAATACTCAATTTACATGGCAAATGGAGTCAAGGAGTATACATTTTTAAATGGAATTTCACAAGATTTGCCTGGGATCCGAGACTCTAGATGGACTCTTTCCTTCAACTGTGTTTGACTTAAATTATCCCTCAGTATTTCTGCTGTTCAGCCACCAGTAGAATGGATATTAAGAAAATAATTCTGATGAGGATAATACAAGAGGAATAGAATCCAGCTCCCCCATCTCTACTCTGCAGACCCTACAGTACAAAAAGGAGTAAAAATCACTAAAAACTTTTGTCAGTATTTGTCTGACATCAGATAGTCTATAGATAGGAATGAATTCAGGCAAGTAATATCTATTGAGTAAAAAACTGCCATTTTTTTCAGAAATGAAGTCTTTCTTAAGCATTCTTAAGCTTAAGCATTAACTGGCAGATTGTAAGTACAGCTACTCCTCATTTAACACTGTAGTTATGTTCTTGAAAAATGCGACTTTAAGCAAAATGAAGTTAAGTGAATCCCGTTATGTCACAGTAGTTACCTACCAGCAGGCGGTGGCCAAACAACGTTATAACTGAACATTGCACAACTTTAAATGAGTATGTTCTCTAATCGGTCAGTGACGTAATAACAAAACAACATTAACCGGAACGACGTTAAGTGAGGAGTGCCTTTATTAGAAGTATCTCCTTTTCTTTCTCTCTCTCAAATTCCAAATGTTCTCTTTTAGCCACTATACACATATGGTATGTAATAACTTGTGTGACTGTCCTCTGTGGTGAGTATTGCAGTTTCTCACCATAGCTCAAGAGAGTTGCATTTTAATAATGTTGCCATGAACATACCAATTTTGCAATATTGGTCTTCAGTTCTGAATTCTTCTGCCTCTTCCCTGATTGGGCTTTCTCTTTGTTTTGTTTCTGAGCTGATGGTAGACAGCGATATTTGATAGAACGTACTTCACCGTACTCGCATATATTCATGTCATTAGAGTAGTCCCATTTGATCATGTTTGGTTTTGATCTTCCACTTTGCACACACAGGCAATTTAGGCATCATCATGCTGGCCAGTGTAGATCTACCTCTCTTAGAAGATCCTCCTGGGGTTCTGGGTCCATTTCAGAACACCTGATTACACATAATCTTTCCTTCCATAACCTCAGTCATGCCCTGTCAGCCATCGTATTCAATAGCACAACAAAACTCTTTCATACTTTAAGCCATTAGGTATCAGGTTGTGCAATACCAGCCAGTAAGCACATGCTATCCTTTGGTGTTGACTTTAGACATCCTGGTATGTCACGACAGCTGTTGTTTAGAACTGGGTCTCTTTTCTTGGCATCGACTGATCTTTCTCATACTGGACATGCATTCTCTGCAGTGTAGTAACACAAGGCAACAGCAGTGGTTCATAATGTAGCTAGGTTCACTCCCTGCTTTGAGGTGAACAATTTTTAAAGTATGTTGTTGTGTGTGCTAACTTTCCCTTTCATCTTCTCTAGTGTGGTTTGAACATAAGTGTTCAGTCCACTGTAACCCCATGGGGTTTAGGTGATTAGTCAGTGGGATTCCATCCCAGATAATGTGTAATTTCCGCTTGGCTTCTCTATAGTGTACATGAAAAGCTGTGACCTTCATCTTGGTTGGGTTGGTATGAAGCTGGTTCTTACTGTAATAATCTGAAAGGTTGCTCAGTCCACATGTCAATCTGGTCTCGATAGTGATAAAGTTCTTCTCTTGTGATGTGACGCATAAATCATCAGCATATATGAAGCTCCTTGTATTACTGTACATGGTTTGGTCTTTGGTATATACATTAAAAAGGATTGATGCTAGCACACTACTCTATGGGAGGCCATTTCCAGAGGCTCCATTTCTTACACAGTTCCATGTAAAAATGTATATTTTCCAAAAGAGTTTGGATGAGCTGCACTAGGTGGTAGTTGTGCATCATATTGTAGACTTTGGCAAGCAGGTTTCAGTCATTGACTGTGTCATATGCCACTGATAAGTCTACAAACACAGCACCTATTATCATCCCTATCTCAAATCCATCTTCTGTGTGCTGTGTGATGTTTAGTATTTGGCTATTGCAGGACTTTCCTGGTCTGAGTCTGGCTTCTTCTGTTATTAGATGTTGTTTGATAGGAGGTGAAAGGTGATTGAGAATAAGGAATTTGTAAAGTTTGTAAAGATGGCACAGAAGTGACACTGGTGTAAAGTTTCCTGGGCCAGATGCATCCTTCCCTGGCTTTAATAGAGCTATTAAATGGGTCTGTCACCTTAGTGTAGGTATTCTGAGGGTTGATGAACAATTGTTAAAAATGGCATTATACCCATAATTTGCTTGTGGGATCAAGGGTTTTATCTGCTTTGTGCATATGTCTTCAAGTCCAGCTGTTTTGCTGTTCTTATTCCAGCATCCAGCTCATCTGTAGTGTATGGCATGCTAAAATGATTTTCCTCCAGATCAAAACAATTAATAATCATAAATATTTAAGAAACATAAATACGCTTTTTGGCTGGTGATGGCTGATGTCTTACACAAAATAGGTATTGCAACTGTACACCAACCAAAAGTGTAAGGACCTGTACGCTAAAGGTGTAAGGACCTTCATGTTTCTCAGTAGGATTCCTAAAGGTGTGGTCACTTTATATTGAAATATTTGCTGATCAAATGGAAGCAATTTACTTGATAAGTAAACAGTTATGTGACTTTTGCATCCAGATAACTTTACATTAGTATTCCATATATTTTGTAGGGAACTTATATTCCGCTGAGTATTAAAAATGGTTCAGTAATACCAGTCCATAGGGTTTAGTAAAGATGTGTGGGATATATTGCACTGTACGTTGTTCACTGACTAGTCTGAATATACACGCACATTTCTTGTTTTACCACACCAATTCAATACATTACCTTCACTTTATCTGTCAAAGTATCTTTATCTGTCAAAGTTTGGAAACTTTCAGGGTATTTGTTGGTAGCTAACTTGACATTCCCGAAACAAGTGTGAATTAAGATCGTGAAGCCCATTCAGCCCACAGTTAAACTAATTTATGTACTTGGGGAAGATAATCCAGTCCGATAGTGCTGGATTTCACTAATATATGCACATAAACAATGTTCTCCTCCATTTGTTTATACGAACAAGAACTTTTAACTAAAGCAACATTAGTCTTTTATTATGTCTTTTGAACAGACATATTGAACTTCTCCAAGTAATAAGACATAACCTAGTATAATTAGAAAGACCCAAAATATTTGGCTTCATCATGCAGCATCTCATTGGTAATGACAATTTTGAATGACAGTTGCAGGAAGCAGTCCTCCAATTAACACCACTAATCATATATTTATGATCTCTCTCATATTTCTTTTAGTATAGTTGCTCTTTTCTAGTTTCCTGTTTTATTTCTATAAATCTGTCCTTTTCTCTCTTATTTGCTCTTTTTGAAACAGGTATAGGCAGAGTGTCTTTTGGAGCTTTCTTAGGTAGGTGGAATTACAGTTTCCTTTAAAAAAATAATTCCATGAAGAAACAATCTCACTAAAAGGCATTGCTATTTCAAGTGTGTATGTACAAGAAAACCCTGGTTTCTTAAATATGCTCACTTACACATTATACATATGAATAGGAACATATTTGCCGAAGGTTTTGTGGCCTTTTCTTGGGTTAAAAATCAATCATGATAATTTCTGTATTTGAAATGATCTGGTGGGGGGCAGAGGGCAGGGGTTGGAGAGGAGTGGTAGAAGCATGGAAACAGCATCCAGCTCCCCAGCCCTGGCGCAGCTACCCCCCAGCTTCACCCAGCCCCCTGCTCCCCAGATGCAGCAGAAGCACAGATTCCAGCCAGAAGGAAGTTGTGCTAGGGCTGAGAAGCTGGACATTGCCTCCACACTGCTCCTGCTGCCCCAACATAACTCCCTTCTGGCTGAAGCTGTGCTCATACCACAGCCTTGGGGAAGAGAAAGGGGGCTTAGAGAGATGCACAGCTTTCAGCTCCCTGGCCCCAGGACAGTTTCATGCTGCTCATCCCTGGTGTATGTACAGCAGGGATGGGCAAAATTTGGCCTATGGGCCATATCCAGCCCCACAGTTGATTCTGTCCAGCCCACAGCACCAGCAGAGGCTAGAGCCACCATCCGCCTGCGAGCCAAATAGACTCAGTTGACAGGCCTGAGGGTCGCAGCTCCAGCTCAAGCCTCTCCTGGTGCCACAGGGGGACCCTGGATGGAAGCAGGCCGGCACACCCTCCTAGCACTGCCCAGGAGCCTGAGAAAGGGAGTCTGAACCTGTGCTGCCAGGTGGGCAGGGCTGCTTCCACCCAGTATCCCCTACAGTGCCAGCAGAGCCCAGAGCCCTGTCCACCTGCCCAGCACTGTGCAGCAAAGGGGGCGGGTGAAGGGGAGGAACTAAACCCCCGCCTTGGCCCTCTCCAACCTGGCTCCATGGGGGCTGAGAATGCCATGGCCCTGCCCCTGGCATGGCACAACTCTTAGCCATGTTCCTGCCTGCCAGTGTCAGCCAAGCTGGGAAGCGCAGGGAGGGAGATGGGAAAGAGCAGAGATAAAACACTACAGCCCCAGGTAGAATTATGCTTTCACTTCTGCTGTGGCTCTTGCGCCATCCTTGGCCCAGCTGCTGGGAGCATGTGTATGTGTATGTGAGTGTGTGTTTGCAGGAGCAGCCCTCAACAGCTCACCAAAATTCATTAAGTGGTCCTCCAGCCCAAATAATTGCCCACCCCTGGTGTACAGGGACAGGCAAAGCCTTGAAGTAGCTCTGCCAGTCATATGTTGCAACCCCCTGTTCTAGCCAAAACAGAATATTAAAAAAAGAATTGAGTTGTCTAGAATTGCTAGTTTAATAAGAATAATGTGAGTCACCCTGTCTCTTCAAATAATTGCAATGAAGAACCAGAATGATTTGATTCTTCTGACTTGATCTTTATTTCTACCACCAACATTTCTCCATACTCACAAAAAAGGTTTGGATTGCTGCTCATGGCAATAACTAGAGGTGCACCAATACATAGGTCTGATATCGCATTGGCACCAATATAAAGAAAACTGACTATATCGGAAATCGGCCTGATGTTGCCGATAATTTGGCCGATTAAATGCCCGTGCATGCACGCAACAGCAGCACAGCATGTAGGCGGTGAAGAGCACAGCCTGGTAGCTTGAAAAGCTGTGTGCACCTGGTAAGTCTGTTGTGGTGGAAGGGAAAGGGAGACAGAAGGGGCATGGGGGGCAGATCAACACTCCCCCACAGTGAGGGAGGGAGTGGGGCTAGGGCTGTCTAGCCCAGGTGGGGCAGGGCAGGGCAGGGCGTGGGATGGAGCCGCAGCTTGTCTGGGGCTTGTGGGCAGGGAGGGACAGCTCCTGCCACTGCACACACCCGAGAAGGGCACTGGGGAAAGTGGGCGTATGGCCCCAGA